AGCCACACCGACGAAAATCTTAACGTCTTTTATCTATATTGGTATTTAGCATTTGAAGCAATGCTTGGCACATCCATTGTTATATCCTTTCCAGGATACAAACAATTTCGAATATCGTTTTACAACGATAATTCGAATAAAATTATTATTTTAATATTAAATCTTAAGTGCAAAGATTAGCACTATAAACAATTTAAATTTCTAAATAATAATCTTTTTTCGACGAATAACCATCATCTGCAATGTCCTTCTCACCGTTCTGATTTTATGCACTCTTCTTTCTCATCAAATAATGATCTATTTATTATTCTGTTATTAAACTCATTTCTGTTTTTAAAACCTTTTAAATGCGTAACAACTCTGAGCCATTCTCAGAGGTAGCGTTCATACGTTACCTCTAAGAGTGGCACTTACTCTAAAAGTTATCGGCAGATACATTTCACTCTTATAGATGTATTTATATATATTTATGTATGTATGTCTGTATGTATGCGTGTAGGTATGTATGTAGTGTATATATCTATTTTTATATATTATTATATATATAGTTTATCATATCTAAGTGTAGTTTTGCTTCTAGTTATCCTGCAAAGTAACTTTGTAATAGAAGTAGTCTCTAATTTATGGATATTCGTTTCTATTGTTATTTATTATTTTATTTGCTTTTGTGCACCTACCTCAACTTCTTCGGATCACCTTTTAGGTTGACTCGTAGAAATAGTCTATGGCATTAAGTCCAACTTTGTACAAATGTTTTTTTTTTTCATAATGTTTTAAATAAAAATTATTAATAAAAAGAAATGATATATGGAAATGAGATATGATTGCCCATTAATTTCTCAGTTTAAAACACTTGCTCAGTTCAAAATTCGACTGGAATCTAATCTAAGTGTATCATTTAATGGTATGTCAGCGAATTTTATAAACAATAATTATCGTAAAGTGCCAGAAATACGTCGAAGAGACGTTCATTACACTTCTTTTTAACTTACCATTTCTGGCACAACATACTTATTTTTATGTCCAGACCAAAGTATGGTTAACATGAAATGAAGAATTTCTATTACAAAACATATAAGACCAGGCTGTACATATTACGAGTTGTATAATCCAGAAATCAATTGTCAATTTGTCTCCGGACCATTATCATAATTCGGCTGTTGTATTCGTTATATCGCCTTTACGTGTAAGAATATCAGAATACACGCACTATACTCCACTACTTGTAATATTCAGTGGGATTGATTAAATAGCAATTTTATTTATAAACGGTATTTTAAATATACGAATATGATTTTATGAAAGCATCTTATGTGTCATATAATTCCTTAAGTTGAACTTTCTTTAATTTAAGCGGTGCTAAAAACTTTTGTAAGATTAATTGCACGTAAAATCGCTGGAGACAACATCGTTCGTGCCACCGGCGTCCATCAGCGCCCTCACCCACTCTAATCCAATTTCTACAACTCGCTTAACAATTCCTCCTACTAAAATGGCCCGATGGATGGGTCACGATACCAAATCTAATTTATTTTGATCCGCGTTACAGTTGCTAATTAACTCTTGTCCAAAATTAACAAAACAGTCTGTGGAACGAACTGCTTTGAAATGCTGCTATTTATTTTAAGGAATGTTTAAAACTTGCTATCAAGATTTATATAAATTAATTTTTAAGTGAGACTTACTTGTGATTAATTTTACTGTGGTAGGGTCACGCAACAGCTTTTGCTCTTGCTCGAATGGGAATGCACGCCCGGGGAAGTACCGCTGCCTCACAAGACCAGCATTAATTGGAAGTGTTACACTTCTTTCGTTTGGTGCGTTTTGTCTGGTGAGTGAGATAGCCGGGGCCCACTTTATAAAAGACACATCTGCAACCATACGGGTGTTGCAAATATCCATGGGAGGCGATTATCAATCTCGCTTGCAACCTTCTTACATAAAAAGTTGAAGTTTTGTACTTTCGCATTTCGTCTGGTGAGACAGGTAACAGGGATAATGTGAACCGCTTGCTCGCATGACAATTTTTTTTTAATTTGGCCTTTTTTTTATTTAACACTAGCTGTTAACCGCGGCTTCGCCCGCGCGGCCTAAGGAAATTATTTATTAAATATTAAATTATAACAATGAGTTTTTTATTATACACCAGAATATCTCGCAGATGCCTCAATTTTTTCCTACCAAATTCACACAATATCGTTATAAATTATAGCCTAGGTGTTATTATGATGTATGTATAAGATTTATTATAGTATTTTCTTCTGAGCTACTTTGTTGTCTTTATTTATCGGAGCACTGGTGGAGGTTGTATTGGTGTATTATTAAAGTGTATTCGGCACAAGATTTTTTTTCGTTTTTTTCCAAAAGCGGCTGGTAAATATATTTATATATTTACTACCTCACCTGATGGTAAACAAGAAGTAACACCTTAATATTTTCGTTGTTTAAACGAATCTTATTAATTTAACGGAAAAAAATTGTATCACTAGTAATGTTTATTACATCATCATCATCTTTTTAGTCAGCTGTGGGCACAACTTTTACTAGCTCGTAAATAAGCTGAAGATGATGCTTCAATATCTTATATCTACGTGGGGCGCACTAAAAGTTTCCGGAATGAATAAGAAATAAATACTGTTAAAGGTCAATATTTAATTTATTGTTTCAAATTTGAAATATTTGTGCCACTCCTCTGTGGTGACCCCATAAACTTGATTTTCATACTCTTCGACAGCCTCTTCTGGTGTTTAGTCGTTGATCTCGTAAGTGATTCACCGTGTACCAGTCACTATTCACGGTAAGATTCTCTAAAGCAATATTAGCCACGTGTCCAGTTTTATTAGAAAAAGAAGCAATCATCCATTAAGATGCACTTTTCACACCCGCCACTTTGGTTTGGTTCGGCTCATCTTGAAAAACCCATAATAACCCGTAAAAGCTATTGACAGTCAAATGAAGCATACTGAATTCCACAGCGAAAGTTCCATTTTCAAAAGTTGTAATTACTTTTTAAAAAGTTTTAATTATTGTTTATGTAAGTGGCCAGTTCCAGAAACTTTTAGTGTGACTTATACATCATTATTTAATTTGTCATCAAGCAAAAGGATGAGATAAATTGTTAGTATATTTAATTAAGAAAGTGCTTATGGAAAAAGCGCACTCTAAAATCTATTTCGGAATATATAACTTTTCATTTCTCGTCGGTTTGATATTGGAATCAATTTTGGCATGCTGTCCGTTTATTCATCTATGGCTACTGTTATTTTCCGATAGCGCTCTCAATATCTGCATCGATTTGTTAGAAACAATTTCATTTGGCTCACGGTCCTTTCACATCGTATGTAACAATGAGTTTAATCCTATTAAAACGGGCACACATTGTGCCAGAATTGTAGCGCGGTAGCTTCGGTCTGTCGCCGAACTCATTGGATCTGCGCGCACTAACCGGAACCGGACCTTAAACGGAATTAAACACGGTTTAATTTCCCTGCCGAGGTGCAACTGAAAAAGCTCCGCCTAGTTGAAACACAACTGTACTGAGAGGAAATAAAATAGCACGGGAAGCGATGCGGGCGTCGGACGAAGCGATTATGCAGTCGAGAATAATGGGCACCGGTCCACATGCACGTTTTTGTTTGTGGTCTGTGACGCGATTTATACGCGAATTTCTACCAGCGCTGAAGTGAGCACTATTCACAATAATTGCTTTGAACAAAATTCCCCCGCACGTATCTTTTGTTCCGGCCCAAATTCCGTATTTTACACCATAGACGTTCGTACGTGCCAAAATATAACGCCGAGCGTTGGGAACCAATATCTCGTCACTTCTTCGCATTGTTTAATATCGCTACAGTGTCTAGCAAACGTATCTTCGATACATTTTGTAGTTGTTATACAACGCGATAGAATTAGTTGCCTTCAAAAGCTTTATATAACTTTGATTAAAGCTTCTTTCGACTTAAGCATTAAAATTCGGAATCACAAACGATTGATTACTTTGATATTCAAGTAATTTATATACATGTTTTGATTTTCAATCATCAATGTTGATGATTTTTTTATAACATACTAGCTTTTCGCCCGCGACTTCACTCGCGTTGAAGCCCTTAAATAAATATCTTTCCCCTTTAAGAATGCTCTAGACAATGTCATTTAAATCGGTTCAGTAGATTTGGCGTGAAAGCGAGACAGACAGTCAGAGCTACTTTCACATTTATAATATTAGTATGGCAATATGGATGAGCTTATGAGGTGTACTCGGGTGGCTTTGATGTTTACTTACTAATACAGTATAATCAGATAGACCTCAATGTCTTAAGATAATAATATTAAAACCGCTAAATGTGCTTTATTTAAACGTTAGTATTCATACTATTAGTGTAACAGGGTAACGATCCGGGTATGTACCTCGACCTGACAGAAGACTGGCGTGAAATAGAACTGTTACACCTCTGCGTTTCGATTGGTGAGTGAGGTAGTAGGCGCTCACTTTATTAATCTGCAACCGTCAAGTATTGCAAATATCAATGTATGGTGGTTATCAATTATCACAAGGTGAACCGCCAGCTCGTTTGCCACGTTATCACATAAAAATATACTCTTCTGAATGTGGTAGAGAAAATTAAAGGCATGTTCTCTCATGCGCAAACGAGAAAAAAAAACGTTGTCTCTTCATCTCAGTATCATTAATAGAGTGGTAAAAATATCCTCGTCTTTATAAAATGTAATCTTCAAAAATACTGATCACATCTCAAAAAAAAATACTGATGAATAAAAGCATCCTATGTGATACGCCTTAATTTATGTATTTAAACGTATTTATATTAATACGTGAAGCCAAAACTTGGTATCTCTTTTAAAAAATATTGCATGCAAGGAAGAGTGTGGGAGATATGGCAAGGTAATTTTTACATGGAGAAGTGCGGAGAGCTAAATATCATAAGCAATATATATTACAAATACATAAAATATAATAAAAGGTCTACTTAGATATAGCAATTATGCAGGTTAAAGATAAGGAACACTGCCTCGCATGGGGGAGCAGCTACAAAAGTGTCCATTTGAAAGTAGAAGGTAACAGTTCCAAATCCCTCCAGAATGGCGCTAGAGTATCAAGAGGTATGTTTACTTACTATATCGAGTTGAATTTTAGTTGCCATGGTATCAATTCTAATAATCTTCATGACAAACATCAATTTACCACAGCTACTTCATACCCTTTCTCAACTCCATAACGGCTCAGCGGAAATCAATGAAAATTTAGGAGTTTACAAAGAATTTTGACCTTTTTTCGTATTTGTACATTTCGATGTCTTGCAAGGTACTGAAAGTATGAGTATAATTAATTACAATAAACATATAACTACACTACACTAACATAAAACACACACTAACATATAACTTTCATTTTAATTTTGGTATATAACATAACAACACATTTTTTACCTTCACGTTTATTGCAGTTTGGTTTATTGTGGCTGCGGGCAACAACTAATCAATATAGTCTACGTCAAACACTTAAATGTAAAAAGCAACGAATAAGTGATATTGTGAATACCGTTTCTAGATACATTGTATATTAATGTAACTTGTGTACAATAAACGCGCTGTACGTGCCATAACTAATAAAACGATTTGTTATAGCCATGTTCAATTACGGAAAAAAATTTAATTCAGAGACCAGACATCACCGTTAGCATAAGTTTATTTTCCGTTGTTGTTTTCTTGATATCAACGGCCTGCATCAATTTAATCCACCCGGCGCTCTATGAGCGTAACTTTTAATAGCCTTATCAGGCTTGGACAGACCGCGCTCTCTTCACCTTGGCTTCCCCTGCCTGTATCAACCCTTATTACTGCTTACAAAGACTCTCGCTTTTCTTAATTCTTTCTTATACATTTTTATCTGTGTATAATAGAAGTAGATTTTGCTTTATCAATATTAAATATGAAATACAGTTTTAATTTTTTTTTCAGTAACGCAGGTTGGCTACAATTGTCCCAACCAAAAAGATCTTACGTGTAAAACGATATTATCACGCTTTTTTGCCTAGTGATCGATGACCATGCTACTATATAAAATTGGTTTGGAACATGCTGAAAGATTTCATCTCCAATTATTCATTAAAAATGTATTATAAACAATAAATTTATAACCGGTATATTTGAATAACGTTAATTGTTCTTAACAAAATTTCATTTTTTCATGGGTTATTCGCCAAATAACTGTTTCGTGTAAAATGTTCTCACTCCGTTTGTTTTCAATTGCCTTCCTTATTTTGTACGTGTATCATCTCTAAGAGGGCATTACGTTCAGTTAATGTATAGCGATTTGTCCAATGGCCAAAGCAAGTATTGCTTTACGGCATCGGTAAAAGAGTTCAGCGCCGTTGAATCTGCCGTAAACCATAAAATTTGCATTTATCGGTCGTCCTCGCTGCCGTAAATTCGACCCGAGCGGGCTGCCGGCGACGCTCCGAGCGAACGTCTGTAGCCATTACAGCAGACACAGTGCATCGGATAGTGGCGTTTGGCGGACCCAACGACGCGCATTAATTGAAATCACCAGTCAATTAAAGTAGGCGACGGCGGCGCCTACGGTGTCGTGGCGCTCGTCGTGTCAATTATTCTCATTTGTTCAGTCAGCCACTCGATACTCGCCCCCCCCCCCCCCCCCCCCCCCCCCCTCCCCTTAACAGTCGCGTCGACCCGCTACACAATCATGTGTCCATACATATGCATATCCCTCCCCGAACAAATTGCTTTCCCACTTAAGACGAACAATTGAGATTACAACATGTTTTCGTAATTGAAGATTCAAAGTTCATTGGAAAAATTTCACATGTAGATATTTTAGGTTCCGCAATCAAATGTGAAGTTACGTCATGAAACTTTGTTGGAACGTAGCTACAATAACTCAGCGGAGTCGGGTGGTTATAATGTTTTAAATTTTAACACATAGAATGTGATAAATAGTTTATAACACTAGTGTAAACGCTTGTGTAATGCGTCAATTACGTAAATCGCGCATGGAACAATATGTAAGCAAATTAAAGTAAGTTTAATTACATAAAAATTAACAATGTGTCTTTTATCTTTTTTAAAACTTTATTTCATTTCATAACTAGACTGAAAACACCGGTAACATTGTAAACGTAGTTTTGAGAAGACGGTTAATACAAAAAATATCTCTTAATAATATTATTTTCGGAATAATATTCAAATAACACAACGTCTAACAAAGATACATGCTCAAGTACACCCATTGGGGTGTACTTGAGCATGTATCTTTGTTAGACAAGGATGGGTAGGATAATCAAATGAAGTTTACACTGTCGGTGGGTAGCGAGAGCGGAGTGCGGCTAAGGTACAAAGGAGGCTCTGGCTCGGCGGCGACGGAACCGGATAGCGCCTATTGCCGGCACGCTCGTAGCCGATAAGAGGCCGCGCCGACCGCGCCACGCCGCCGACGTCGCCCGCCCCTGATTTATGAACGGCGTGTCTCCTTTTTAATGAGCCCGTAAGAAGATATCTCCCGGAGCACCACAATAAATTTCCGCGCTGCGACTCGCCGAAACGCTTCCACGTCGATATCGGCAAACAAACGCCTCCCGTTAATCTGCCGAGGCTGGGACGGTCCGCGTGTATAAGTCGCGCTTATCTCGGGTAATAGCGCGATATCTAGCCGATCAGCCGCTTCCATTTACGGCCCTGTTTTCCTTTTTACGCCCCTTCCGAATTTTGGTAAGTGAAAAACAATCGTGATGTTGGGCATACATAATTACTAGACGAAACTGAAAAGTGCATTTCCTAGACCGAACTTTCGTAACAACCTGGCACGAGCACTCTCAAAAGTGTACAAACCCGCTCCAATGCAAACGTTGCAAGATGTCCGAATAGATCGCGCCAGACTCAACAAAATGGCGAAACTACCCTAGCGTTTTGGTACCTAACTTAAAGGGTTATTTAGACGTTATCCAACCAAAATTCACCACGTTTCATCAGACCTTCTATTTGGCAAATAATTCTTTTTAAATATGTAATGTACAGTATTTATTAATTATACTTAGGACATATTTTGTAAAAATTATGTTTTGACATTGCCGCATAATAGTAATATATTACCAAATTCTAAACTGTAATTATTAAGTTTAGTTATTAAGTTATCAATATCAGCCTATTGCCGTCCACTGCTGAACGTAAGCCTCCCCCAAAGTGCGCCAACTATCCCGGTCCTGGGCAGCCCGCATCCATCCGCTGCCCGCCACCTTTCTTAAGTCGTCAGTCCATCCTGCTGCAGGCCGTCCCACACTTCGTTTTCCTAACCGTGGTGTCCACTCTAACACGTGTCGGCTCCAGCGACCATCAGTACGTCTGGAGACATGGCCAGCCCACTTCCACTTCAGCGTGCTAATTCTGCGCGCAATGTTAAATAATAATAATTGTCTAATGTTAATTAATATTAAGTTATCATTGTAATTATATTTACATCGTTTCATGTGAATTTTATGAACTCAATTGGAACTTATATTTCAACTCCAAACGGTTTTCCCGAACTACGTAAGCTAGCATTGGTATATGATTTGGTCATAATTAAATTATCAATTATTTGGCAAGGGCCGAAGTGGGGGCGCGGCGGCGGACGGTTAAAAAACAAAGGCCGGCCGCTGCGTGCCCCTCGTTATGGGTGCTGTGGAGCCCGCTCTGTGTAAGTAGTGCGTTCATCCTGCTAAATTTATTGCCGCTTTTATATCAGCCGTTACAGAGAGGTCCCCTTTCGTTCGTATCAGACCGCGCGGAGCCCGGCTTAGTGAAGTCGCAATTACGTTTTACCGGCTTTGAGTCTAACGGGGGCGACTTTTGCCGTCCATCGAATCGTAATGGAATTAGCGTTCCGGCGTTCTTTTAATTTGTGTCCTATCCTTGTTCTAAACGAATCTCCTACCCGGCTCCGTTCGACCTCTCTGCAAAAGACGGACGCTACCGTACTTTTTCTATTTATCTTGACGCTTTCAACTTGCTTTTAACTTTTATTACACAATCAAATTGCCTCTTTCAAATTAAACGCGTTTTGACGACGTTACACAAGTTTCTTTGCAGTAATTTTCTTAGAAACCACCATGACAATTAATAAAATATTTTACGAAAATAAATTCAAATGTTTGAAAATACGTATTCATTCACTAATAGATGTTGCTATGTATTAATTCTTAAATTATAGTACAATACATAAGCATATCTTGTAGTTTTATTGAAGACGCTTGCTACGCCCACGTAGCTAAAGCGCTACGATTTTTAAAGTTATAAATTTTTCACCGATAACTATCAATACACACAATACATTTACTTAAGATTTTGTATGTCTTTCCAGATTGGATCATAGTTATCCTATATCTATAATGGAAATATTGACAACTTATTGGCAAATTTAATAGTATAAAATATTACTGGAGAACCTTTTTTTTGTAAATAGTGTATTTTTGAAATTACATTTATATACAAATTACTGAGTAATGACATATGCATAATATTTTTCGATCTTACCGACGTAACAATAAGAAAATATGAACTGGTGTTTTACACAAAAGAAAGAACTTTAAAAAAAGGGGGAAAAATTACAAAATCATCTGGATCGACAAAAAATAAAAAATAAAGAAAGCAATGATCTGGAATCGAAAAATCAGTAAAAAAAAATAAATGATCGTGAAACGAACCACGGCCTTCTGTTTCTTGGCCGCCCGATTGCCGACCGAGCTATTATAACATTTTTTTTTCGGCGAAATTTACCGTCGTATTCGAATGATATTTTTCATTCCCTGAAAACTGGGATAAAACAACATTTTCTAAAAATGAAACCTAGCCAGATCGATTTTTCGCACCCGAATCTACGCACATACTAAATTTCATGAAAATTGCTGGAGCCGTTTCCGAGATTCCGATTATATATATACAAGAATTGCTCGTTTAAAGGATAAGATATAGAAAAGTTGTATACTATTTTGAAGCAGCGGTGCTTTAGTAATTAATCCATGTGTAAATTATTAAGTTAACTAATCTTTTTAGGTGTACCGTGTCTGTGACACGTTCACAGGTACATATTGGCTAAAATAACGTCGGCAAAAATATATTATACATCTAGTTATATCTGTCTTATTCGTCTAGAACTAATGGTTCATATAAAGTCAGTTTTTCTTTATATTTTAATACAAATATTTCCAGGTAAAACAAATTATTTCTTCAAAAGAAATATACTAGCTGCTACCCGCGACTACGCCTGCGTAGAATAGGGTGAAGGCGTAACATTCAGACAGAAAGACCTAGACCTAGCCTATGTCTTATTCTGATGTATAAGCTATGTTATGGTAAAAGTAAAGTAGAGTAACATTCCATACATGTCCCACTGCTGGGCAAAGGCCTCCTCTATACAGAGGGTATCAGGGCATAGTCCACCACGCGGCCCCACTGTGGATTGGCGGGCTTCACATATCTTCGAAATATTTCTTTTATTATTTCGAAAATATGCAGGTTTCCTCACGATGTTTTCCTTCACCGCGGAGCACGTGATAAGTCAGTACTAAAAGTTAAAAACTTCATTGGTGCCTGCACCGGGGTTCAAACTCAGGTTGCTCGAGTATATTGAATTAAAGGCGAGCGCCAGGACACTGAGCTATCACGGCTCTGTATTATATTATGGTAAAGTTTCATTAAAATCCATTCAGTAGTATTTGCGTGAAAGAGTAACAAACATACATCCATACATACAAATTTTCGCGTTTATAATATTAGTAAGGGTAAGTAATATAGTAAGGATAATATTACAGACATATTTGCTATCCTTCTCATAGAAGTATTCGGTTTGATACATTGTTAAGCATACCATAAATTAAACAATGAATATTAATTAAAAAATGGTCTTTCATAAAATGTTGCACGAATGGGCCGGTCCATCCGGGTAAGTACTACGACCTACAGAAAACTGGCGTAACGTGGATGTGTTAAACTCCTGCGTTTCGTCTTATTTGTGAGGTAACCTGGATCCATTTTATAAAAGGTGGCAACGAATCTGCAAATCTACTGGTATTGCAGATGTCCATGGGCGGTGCTTATCATTTAATATCAGGGGAACCGCCAGCTTGCTTGCCTTATTACATTTTTATAAAAAAAAACCTACTTTCGTATAAGCTCAGTAGGGTTTGTCACTTTTAAATATACTATGAATATTTGAGCTCGTATTAGCATTCTGCGTAGGAGGCGAATTGTAGTGAATGCGATGCATTAAAAATAAGGTACGCGACACCTGCACAGCGGCGGCTCATCTAACATGCATGCCCGCACACCCGCCTCTCATTGCCGCCTGCAAGCTGCACACATGAATTTATGGCAATTTCCTTGTAGTTGCTACTATTTCTTGTTATATCACGTAACGTATATACTTCGTCGCCATTTCTTTTTCCCAGGCTAATCGGATTACCTTCCTAAGATATCAGGATGCCCAGATTATAAGTAATTTTCATTATTAAATATAATAACAAAAATTAAGAAGTACTTTAATGAATTCATATTATATAAAAATCACATGTTATTTATTACGAAAATCATCGTGTTCTCTACACCGCGTAACCGTATGTCTACGTTGTAGCCACGTTCTGACGAAGGGGACAGCATAGAGTTGAAAGGTTATTTCATGTTGCTTTCACGCTGTGGATGGAGGGAGATCACGGTGCAACACAAAATTAGTTCAAGCCTGCTTATAATTGTGTTTTCTTTTATTAATTGTGTAACTCGCACCCCCCCTTTATTGTGTATATATATAATTAAACTTATATATATTTTTTCCCCCATTATATGAATAAATCATATAACATCATTACGTGACCAGGATAAATTATTGATCTTTCTATAGGATCTTTCTAAAGGTAATAATTAGCCGTATAAATATTATTGTGATCGTCATGTTCGGTAGGACCTTATTTACGTTGTGTTTATTTAGTAACTTGATTCTTTTAGGTGTATCTTGGATAGACAAATATTCACTAGTCATGGTATAAGCCAGAGATAATGTCAGATTGCTTTCTTATTAACTAACCCCGACTCGCTTGAGACGGGCTCAGAGTATATAGTATACTCCCTCTCACGCTTGTAAAGGGCTCACAATATAATTTTAAAATAATATCCCTTCTCTCTTGAAAAGGGCTCACATCAATTTTACATACCCGATACAAGTCAACAGCTCCCCCACATTTTAAAAAAATGTAGGGAAGGCACACGGCTCCATGAAAACACTCACCATCGCCGTGTGCGGTGAGCGCCAGCCAATATATTGCGCCCCCCCCCCCCCCCTCCCAGAAGAGGGACAAAAAGTTGGGGAAAGGACCGAAGTCCATTACAAAGCTGTTTTACCAGCATAAAAAGGGCTTGGCCCCTTGGCAGTGCGTAAGCACAAACTTTGACCGAAGTCGCGCATGTCAATGCGTGTAAACGTCATACAAGCCGACGATAAATCCAGTCTTTGTGAATGTACGTCAATACGGTTTTGGGCATGTGTTAAAGATCAGGCACTCTGGCCCTATGATCTAATGAGCCCTCCGTAAGTGCCACCACTTTTGCCAGATCGCCGCGACTGCAGACGTGATTGTTAGTGTTTTGGCATCACCACCATTAAAAAGGTTAGCACGACATTTCGTCGCAGAGCGCGTTATGAGTCACTGCTCACCCCAAGGGTATGGTTAAAACGTTGCACGGCATCGCCGCAGCCTTGAGAGGTTTTCTCCCACCAGCTACCATCCACATGAGGTAAACGCATATGCTCCACCAACCATTGAAATAGTCAGATATAGCCATAGTTGTGATTTTTATGTTAAGCCATCAGAAGGGTTTATAATTGGCAACATATATTTATTTGTCAGTGTCTCTGACGTTGAGTATAGTGTATTTTCGATCAAGTTTGTCTCACCCACCAGCAAGTTGCCATTATTCGTTCGAACGGTGGGAACTTTACTGAGATTCGTTAATAATGATAAAACGTATAAAGAGGTCAGACAGTCTGCAGTTCCGTCATCAGGAACCCGACTTGGACAAATCTACTGAGATGTGCATCAAACCGAGACGCAGACTCGGCCATTATGAATAGCGTCGTCTCCCAAGCAAATGTCGCAAGACGCAATGTCACTAAATGCAACATGCATCAATACAACTATCGCAGGTTAACACGCCAACATACAGCCTATCCGCATAAACAGCAGACATCATCACCTCGAACCTCCGTCAACCAGAATCATACGATGCAATGATATTAGGTGCAGATCACCCCGCAAATACCACAAGACGCAGTACTGCATATAGCCGCACGCATCAATGTGACTATCGCGTAGGTGTCACACCCTCACACCACACCAATATAACTCCAATCAACTTCGGCTCCAAAGTTTAGAATATACTCGGAACACACGAAGTGTCCAAACATACTCTTTCACGATCCGAATGATAGTCGACGTATCATAGCGTAAGCACTAAGGCGCCAACCACCAACGGACCCCCGCCCAAGCCAAGTAATAGCCAACGTATCATAGTGGAATACACTAAGACGCAAGCCACCACCAGACTCCCCAAAGTCAGATGATCAGTCGACGTATCATAGTGCAACACACTAAGACGCCAACTACCACCAAACTCTTACTATGCCGAATGACAGCCAACGTATTATAGTGATGGTCACTAAGACGCCAACTACCACCAGCTATCGATGATATGTCCACCACTGAAGACATATCCATTCATGGTTCCACGTTTACCGTAGACCATGTCGTCGTACAGAAGTACCACGCAACTCCATAGTAATATCTCTTATAAAGTCCCAAGTCATTCATTGCTCTTCATTATATTTATATATTTATTATTTTTTCTCTGAGCCTTCACATATTATCACTTTTATTCATTAGACCTTACTTCCATATGATCTTGGTATGGGACGTTCATACAATGTACTTTCACCATAGTACTAAGAGTCGCGATCGACCTCTGTACTTATATATGTACGATCATACAATTGTGTCCCCGCACGGTACATAATACTTCCCTTAGAAATCACTAAGTATGGAATTGTATTTAATTGACATAATAGTGATCGTATCTTGCTATATTTTTAATAAATATCCTTTTTTGAGTATTTTAAGTGATTTTTAACTATTTTTTATCAATTTTCGGTAATATCATTTTCTCATACTAACACTTATATTTCTTAAATTTAAGTATATATTATTAACTTTTATTGTGATTAAACGTTCTTAAACGTTTTATTTTCATCTTAATTGATCTTTATTATGACTAATTAATAATAATATTTATTATTATTAATAGTTCGTTACAATTGGAAACAAATGATTGCGAAAGGCCTCATAATTCTGTTGTGTAAGACATCAAATCATTCCTAAATTCATATATTCTTCCTATTAAAAACTTGTGTACCAAGTAGCCCAAGGTTCAATATATTAAAATAAATGTAATGTAATTATATAATAATAAAAAAAAGAATGCGAATCTTTGTAAGTTTGTGTATTTAAAATGTAATCTCTGTAACCACTGCATCTATTGAAAATTCCTTTTGAATGGTACATTATTCCATTCGATATTTCGGCTATATGTTAGATGTTTATAGTTAAAGTTGCATCAAAACTGCGCGATTGATTTCATCCTTTTAAAAGGTCCAAAAAAGTGTGACAGCATATGTCCATATTCTATAATTAACGCATGTTTAGTATGTCATCTTTAAATTTCTATTAAGAATATTATATTATGTATTTGTGAATCTTTAGCCGTACACGAAGGGGAACACCACATCACATTCACTAATACATAACAATCACTACATGTACTTTTTATACACTATATTTACAGTAAATTTCCCTATTGAATGTAAAAATTGAAATCCACGCGGGTGAAGTCCAGGATCAAAAGGACGGCATTTTAAATAAGCATATTAGGTTAAATTTTAATCGTTAGTTACCCGAAGCTAAAACAGGATTCGCAAGCGACACAGAATTTAATGCGACAATTTGGAAATAACGTGAGCGCCGATCAAATGAAAGATAAGGCTGGAGTCAACATCTGCATAAAAGATCTGTCCGGTATGTAGCATCGGGGGAAATAATTTACGATCGCTCCGACGGTGCATGAATATTCGACGGTTAGCCTGGAAAACATTTTTCATCTCGAGGCGAGCGCCGCGGCCTCGGCGACGGATATTACTCTTAAAACTTGAACGTCGATATATTGTTGGTACGCCTCGATTTTAATACTGGTGTATCCATTGCCGAGGCGCGTTCAGGTCCGAACACTTTTTATCGGAGACAATTTTTATAGATTTTCCGAACGGTAACCTTCCGCACAACACCCTAATTGATGAGATCGGCCCGGACCCGGCCGTCGTAACGTTTGTAATACCGTTTTACGATGAGCTTAGGACGTAACTTATACATATTTTGAATAACTTTACGTGCTGCTTAGAGAAGAATTACTGTCTTTGGTCTCGCTGCGATAACAATACACGCGTATGAATTTGGCCTGTAGGGATTTTAATGGAAATTTACTCGTATTTTTCTCTCTCTTCCTCTCTGTTACTGCACTGTAGATAAATAGTTTTAAACTTTCTATCACGATAACGATATCACAAGAATGAATAACGTTACGTTATAACAATTCCATAAAAATTTTTGCTTTTGCTCAAGTATAAACTCTCAGAATCTTGCTTGGTCCCGTCAATTATTTAGTATTTTTTTTAATATGATGTAAAATAATCGCCGACTGTAAACTATCATTGAACATGTAGACTCCTCAGTTTAAACACTGTAAAAATAATCAAAAGGAGTTCAACTTTTTACTTTAAAATTTTCAAAATTGTCTAATACTTAATTCGCATTTTTTTTTTTGCAAGAGGGAACGTGCACTAATAAAAGGACCCACTTTGAGCCCACACATCCTTATTCAAATATTAATATTGGACACGAGGTAATTTTACAACGGTTTAAACAATAATTGTAACGCGCACCAGTGACACGGGCCAGCCGTGTGTGCAACACAAAATCAGTCGTTAGTTCACGCCGTGACACCCCTAAAACGATTTGATTAAACTCATAAAACTCGAGCTACGAACGTTCTTAGCGCCGCTGCCCGCCCGCGTAGCAAAAGCGGAACTTATACACGCCCTACCCCTTGATTCGGCCCCGCTACCTCGCCAGCACTACCACCTTTTAATAACACAGCCGACTGATTCCGCGCCCAACATTAACATAACGAATATTACTTTTTTTAATGTTCATATTTTCGAA